AGCCTCTATATATGTTGTATCTCTTTAACCCATCCCTGAAGAATTCTGAGCTCTTTAATTTATACCACATCCAAAGGGCAGTTTGGCCATCCATGAGGGACTCAAATTGTATTCATTTTAAACGTTCTTTGGGGGGAAAAATGTTATTTGAGATTGCAGAACAAAAAGGAAGTCTGAAGGGACAAGATCAGGGCTGTAGGATGTATGGCAAAAAAAGGCTTTCCCAATGAAATTTTCATAGGACAGCTCTACATATTCCTGAAGAATGAGCAAGTGTACTGTTGGGATGGAGGCAAAAAATACATAAAGATCTATTTTGGTTCAACTTTCCTGGCCTGTTTCTTGCCAGTGTAGTTTGCAATTTTCTTAAAACCTCTTCATAATAACCCCCCTGTGGCCACCTGTGTCCTTTGAGAACTATTTCCAACATTGTCTCCTTTGGGGTCCTCCCCAAACAGTCATCATAACCTTCTGAGCTGACCTCTCTGCCTTGAATTCATCTTTGAGGTGTTACAAACTTCCTCAAGCTACTTGAGCCTGTTTTCTGTGAGGGAGCCTTTCCAAAAATTTGTTTCAACGCTTCAGTGGTTTGGGAAGAGGCCCACTTGAGTTTTGTTAAAAATTTTGATATTAACCGTGATCTCAAAATAGTTTTGTTCCATGGCACAAAAAAAATCAGGCACCTAATAAGATTAGGAGTCCCGGTGTGGTGCTGTGGGTTAATGCTCTGGACTGCAAGGTTGGTTTGAACCGCATGGTTGACGGTTCAAGCTCATCAGCTGTTCCTTGGGAACCCTATACAGAGTTGCTATAAGTCGGAACAGACTCGACGGCGCTTAACAACAACAGCAATACAACTGAGACACGTGTATTACTAAGATGATTTGTCTGCAGCTAAACACTAAACATAGTGATGTGTTTAAATATAGTGCTGTAATATATTGGATGTCTGTGCATGTCTGAATTGGAACCCTAGTAGGATTACTTTTTTTACTGGCCCTTGTATTCTCCTGTCGCAAAATTTTAATTGTTATTTTTTTTTAGCGAATTCAATCAGCTTCCTTTGTAAACCTTCATATTTTATGCATTTAATAATATTTTTTTGAGGAGGGGTTCACAGATTTCACAAAACTTGGAAAGGGGTCCAAGGTATACCCCTAAAAGTTTAAGAAACCTCTAGATAGAAGGAAAGAACCTCTTCAAACCCATAGTCTTCCAGAAAGCTCTGGGAAGCTGTCTAATCTTCATTTCAAAGGACTATTTGCAAACTTGTGAACACACTGTTCCTTTGACTTGGTAACTTGGAGCTCTGTGAGCCAAAATAGTTACTTTTCTTGGAGGGCTCACAATGCAATAATTGAAAAATTGCTGGTAAAACCTTCTGTTGGTGTGTAAAGCACAACCCGCTTGTAGTGTTCTTTTCCCCTTTAATCCTGCATTGCCAGCCGATGGAACGCCTCTAAACCTCAGGCCTGTAGCTCTTGGAAAACCATAGAAAATCATTTAATGCATTTTGAAAATACGCTCACTTTGTGGTCAACTTCCCATTAATGTAGCTCCCATTGGATCAGTAGGTTGGTTTTCAAGTACTATTTGCTTTGAGGTGATCTGATAAAGTTACAGCCCTGTACTTGATTAATCTCTCCTTATACTTATAAATGATTCAGACCATCTTTAAGTGCACCCTTCACCTCCCCTTCCCCCCAGTCCCTCCTTTACCCGTGTGCCCCTCACTTCTCCTCAGCCTCCCACTCCTCTTCTCCCTCAAAATGCCTCTGACCTTCAGCAGCTGGGGGTCACCCCTGTTCATGGGTAGTTTTGTCTCTGCTGGGGCCATACACAATCAAGGCCTGTGAAAAGAAGGGTAAGTCTGTGGGAGGCCAGGACAAGCTGGGCTCTTTGGGATCTGTGTGCATTAAAGCCTTCTTGCTCTCCTTAACTCATTCCTGCTCCATTCATACCAGTGCAAATGGTCAGGCTTTAGTAGACACTAAAGCCTGTAGGGTATAGATTCTCTGACATTGATGGGAAAGAATAAAGGAATCAGCTGGAGATGGCTAATATTTCTTGCCTTATTTTATTGCTGAACAGCGGGACTGTAAAGTCTTCAACACTGGCATACTATGGCCCTCTTTCAAGTAGCCGAGATGATGGGATAAAAATGTGTTTGGTGAAGCAATTCAGATTACCACCGGGTCACATCCTCGCTGGCTCCCAGCATGGCCTGCAAACAGCATCACTAAGGCAGTCAAGAAACAATCAGTGTGTAATTTCAGCTCATGCAGAACAGTGTTTCTAGGGTGAAAATGAGGCTAATTGTGGTGCTTGCCAACTTGAATGTTTTGTTTTAAATAGCTTACGCTGCCGCTATTTAAACAAAATGGATTGAAGTCCTCAGATCTATGATTTCTGACAGCTTCTTACTGAAACTATCCAGTCCTGGGAGGGTGTGTGCTATGCTTAACCAGGAACACAGAGGTCTTAAACTTGCCCGTTGGAATGGGGAATAAGCTCTTGAGGGAGGTGAGAGGTGCTTTTTAGGGGCCCTCTGTCTTCTAGCCCTTTCTGTTCCGTACTGTGGGACGACAGGGTTTATTTAAGCTCAGAAACCTCTGGGGAAGGAGTTATGAGGCTTGCCAGTTATGAAGTTTCTGTGTGGGAATAAAGGAAAAGTGAAAATTCTAGACAGTTTTGAGAAGCAGTCTTATTTGGTTTCATCCGGAACCTCTCTCAAATAAAAAGCGAATTACATATTCCCAAACAATTGTTTGATGATAATGTCTAGTTTGTTGCAGAGCCAGGCCATCTTTCTAACTCGATTTGTAACCCAGATCAAACCTCATCACTTCCTGTTGCAACTCCACAACCTCCTGTAAATCTTTTGGAAGTTAGACTCTTTGGAGTCAATTGGAATGTGTTCTTATTTTCACCTACTTAGCTTTGTGGCCTGAGTCTCAGTATCTTAAACTCTAAAATGGGGATAAATGTACCTACTCTTTAGTGTTTTGAGAATTCTCAGTAACTGTTAGCATGAGAAGGTAACAGATTGCATGGATGATTGTCACTGCTGGTTTTAGTGTGTGCAGAAGCACTTGTGGCCTATTTAAATTGAACCTAGAATCTGGGAGATTGAGTGAGAAATTCACTCCTGGCTGTTCCTCAGTTCATGGCAGAAATTTAATTCTTAATTCTAAGAGTGGAAAAGGACAAGCAGAGAGACTGTTTTGTTTGGTTAGAAGTCACAACCCTCCACCAACACACTTTTACTATTAGTATCTGTGTATCCCTGTCCAAAGACTTTCAAGGCCACTGGATCTAGATGTTCAAAGGTCATTGCTGTTAAGAAAGAACACTTGCGTTAGCCCTTGTTCCCATTGTGATGAGAGCCTTGAGGAAGTGGCTGATACTTGTTGAAGAGGTAGAGACAAGAATCTCAGAGCCTCCCAAGTTTGGTCACTCAGAGTAAAATTTTTGTTGTTATTGTTTAGTGTCGTTGAGTAGGTCCCAACCCGTAGCGACGCTGTATAGGGTTTCCGAGCAGCGGCTGGTGAGCTTGAACCACTGATCTTGTTGTTCAAACTGACTTTGAAGTCCAGTACATTAACCCACAGAGCCACACCAAAACTCAGAGTACAATAAATCCACGAAATAATAAGCATTAAAGGACTTTCTAATCAATGACAGATTTTATTTTTACTCTGGCAAATCCATCCATGGAGTTAACATTTTATAGGGAAATAACTATACACTTTTGATTCATCCTCAGCCCATATTCTTTTTCTTAAATTTGGGGAAAACTCAGAGAATGAAAGTTGGCTCGTCCAAGAACTACGGTAGGAGAAAGCCTTACTTCCCCTGGGCCGGAACCCAACTCTTCCGTTACTTCCTAGGGTGGTGTGGCCATTCATTTCTGTTTTGCTAAAATACCCGTGACATGTGAATAAACCAGGATTACAGAACATTGTCTCGGTCAGTAATCTGAGCCAGCATGGGCTCTAGTTTGATGAAACATGGTGCTCTCTGAGCAAACATCACAATTGGTATTACTTCTC